AACTTATTCTAATTAGGATCCCTGAATATAAAATTCTTGATTGACAGTTTTTTTAAAGCACAATATGTCACCCCACTGCTTCTGGGCTCCATGGTTTCTTCTAAGAAACTAGCTGTCAATCATGTTGGGGTTCCCTTGAATGAATCTTTTTTCCTGTTCTCAAGATATTTTTATGTCTTTCAAAATTTTTACTATTTATGCTTTTTACTTTGCTATTTATACTTCACTATTCTTACTTTGCTATTTATACTTCTTGGGCTTTGCAGAGAGTTAGTTGACAGTCTAATGAATTTACAATTTTGCTCCAAGTTTTGCCAAAGACTAGAACCTTGGAAAGTTCCCTCTTCAGTCTCTCTGGAGGGGTGCAGCCTTGGGCATATGAACAGTCTGACAGATTATCTGGAATGAATGGCATTTTAAAAAACTGCCAGGCTTCCTTGGATTCTGCCTTGGAGCAGTGTGGCTTATAGGTCAGCTAGTGCTTAGTTAGAAGTTGTGCTTATACCCCATGAGTCAGTAAGGCCCTACCTTCAGCCAGTGGATCTGAGTATAACTTGGGGAGTGCTTTCCTGTCTTCCTCACATCTTGCCTTGCTGGGTCCTGAACGGTGCAGCTCATGCAGTGCACACCTCTTAGGACCTGTGGGGATGAGTGGTGTTCCAGGAGGGTTCTTTCCTGGTTCTTTCTGTTAAACTTCCACTTGGTCTAGCATTTCGTTTGTTGTTTTTGTATAGTGGATCCACCAGCCTCTCTTAATGCCTTATTACTAAAACTCCCTTGTTTTTTGACAATGACCTTAGGTATATGCTGGTGCTCTGTTCCAAATATAGTTAGTCCTCTTTGCCAGAGATGTGGAGATAATCTGTCCTTAACCTCTGGGCAAGACCTTGGTGCCACCATACTGAACTTGGGGTTGAGACAGTAACCTGTTTCTATCAGAGTGACATCTCTGTTCTATGAGAAGGCACTGGATTGTAGTTCCTGGTCTCCTTGGCTTGCTTTCCCATTGCGAACTCTGTGCCCTACCTGTGAGCTGGTAGTATCATTGGCTTGCCATGCCTGGGGCAGAGCCTCCACTGGATAGGAAGGGAGTACCTGTCATCCTGGCCTCATCTGCCATAATAAAGAGACCTCCTATGACATGGAGCTCAGGGGAATATGCATTTGCCCCTTTTAGGGTGAAACAGCAGCCCTAGACTTGGAGCTGGAATAGAGAGGATCCTCTTCCACCATATTTGTACCCACTTGGAGCAGAGCCTTTATAACTGGAACTGAGAATCGGTGGGAGCAGGTTGTGGCTTAAATCACAGGCTCACTGTTCTGAGATGTAAAGGTTTTCCTAAATAATGTTCTCCATTTGATATATGCCACATATGGGAAGGCTGCACCTGCTGGTGACACTTTTTATTTTTTTATTTTATTTTATTTTTTAAATTTTTATTTTATTTATTTTTTTTGATGACACTTTTTATTGAGGCAATACTTAGTTGTGAGCTACCCATCTTTCTTGGAAGGTGGGTTGTGATTTTTTTTTTTTGAGAGAGAGAGAGAGAGAATTTTTTAATATTTATTTTTTATTTTTTCGGTGGACACAACATCTTTATTTTATTTTTATGTGGTGCTGAGGATTGAACCCAGCGCCCCCCGCATGCCAGGCGAGMGCRCTACCGCTTGAGCCACATCCCCAGCCCTGGGTTGTGATTTTATGAGGACTTCAGTCATGGTTCCTCCCTCTAGAAAGGGCCTGAATTTGCTTCTGCTGGATCCTGTCCATGATTAGTTTAAGACGACGTGTAAGTTGGGTTTTCCCTGGGTAGATCCAGGTCATGTGAATGTGGGCTGTGAATCCACAAGAAGGTTGGTCTGCGTTGTATCTTCTCAGAGGGGGTTCCTCCTTTTCTGCCCATGCCCAGGTACTACTCCTCCAAGTTGGCTGAAGGTGAAGTTATTTCTAGCTAATTTCCTGCTAGATGTCAGTTACTGGGGGCCTTCCATTACACCTCCATCTCGGGCTTCATCTGTCCCATTTTCTAGATTGGGCAGACACATTCAGGGCAAAAACAATCCCATGGTTCTGGGTTCCACTCCATCTARTCTTTGGCTTGACGATTCTTCCCATCTCGTCATTTTGATGATTTTATGAGTATACTATTTATATTTTATCCAGGGCTTTTGGTTGTTGTCAGCAGGAAGTGGGTCTACAGAGCTGCCATATACCTGGACATAAGGATACGTTGAGGCTTGGATAGGCTTTAAACAATTCCATATTGCTGCTGTAGATGGCATCCAGCAGAAGCTGTGGGTCATGGCCAGATCTCAGGGTCATCCAGGCTGCCTGTAACAAGTGTAGGATTTTGGTTGGATGATGTGGCCTCTTTGATCTTGTTTTTATGGAAAAAAAGACACACTTTGAGGTGACTGTGTGACACCAGCTGGGTCATACTCCTGTGACTTCAGTGTGGACTTCACTGACCACTGGTGGGTGGGGGAAAGCCATTCTCTATCCGCTCCTGCCAGTGAAATGTGGGGAGGAAAAAAGGGGCAGGACTGACTGTCCAGGGCACTGATTTCTCTGCTGGGCATCAGCTACTTTGTCCACAGTTCACTTTGCTTTGACCACTGGGATCCTGGGCTCCTTTTTTAAAATATATATTTTTAATTTTTTAGTTATAGATGGACACAGTATCTTTATTTTGTTTATTTATTTTTATGTAGTGCTGAGGATTGAACCCAGTGCCTCACATGTGCAAGGCAAGTGCTCTGCCACTGAGCCACACCCCAGCCCTGGGCTCCTTTTATTTACTGAGTAAACACTGCCAGGAATCTCCCAGGGCCACACTTGAGCTGAGGATAGAGGAGAAACACACCATGTGCACGTGCACACACACACACACACACACAGACACAACAGACATGTACACAGATACACACTCTGGCACACACACACACAGACATGTAGTCACAGATACACATATAGACATGCACACAAAGACACACAGACATACACATAGATACACACAGAGACACATGGACACATAGAGACACATATACAAATGCACATGGGCTCAGACACACAGACACATAGACACAAACACATGGACACACAGATACACACAGACCTATGCAGACACACACATACACAGACACACAAACACAGATACATAGACACACATAGACATACAGTCACAAACACACAGATATGTAGACATGGACATATCTGGGCTATTACATGAGCTGAGCCTGCAGATGTGCTGGTGGGACAGGTGAACATGGGGATGATGAGCATCTAGATGCAAGAAAACACAGAGGGCCAAGATGCTGTGTGTTCTGGAAGAGAGAGGATGCCGAGCCCTAAGCCAATAGGCTGTGCTGGGGAAATGCAGCCAGTCTCTGTCCCACTGTCTGCCTKCAGGTGGCAGGGGCCCACAGCTGAGCCACGCCTGTGTGCATACCCTCCTGCCCCACCTTGTGGTTCCTTGGGGTCTTGGGATGTGGTGGGTGTTAGGGAAGCTCCCATGGACAGAAAGGGCATTCCCACACAGGCCCTCTGGTATATCCACTGGTACCTGTCTGCCTGTTGTTTTTCACTCACGATGACCCCTGTGCAATCTTCCTCTTGTGGGTGGAGGTGAGGTGAGCATTCCAGTTCCCTYAAGTCTGTGAGCCCAACACCTCAACCCTACCTGTGGTCCCAAGCCTTTGTACTAGAACTTAGGGGGTCCCAGAACTTTCCCTGGCATGAAAATGGGGAGGGATGTGGCCTCCTTTGTGGTGGCTGGGGTACTGTGGTCTGATGGAGTAGGTTGCTGTACAGAATATGATCTGGGCTGTATCCCCCATTTCCATATAGAGGTGATTTATCAAACACCCTTTTGGTGCCCAGTTGAGCTACAAAACAGAGAATACAGGATCTTGACATACTTGCCTTCTGGGAAAGTAACATTCATTCATTCCCCTGACAGGTTTTTGCTAAAGGAGGGGAAAGCAGTGAGAAATTTACAGAACCACCAGTAACAAAGGCTTCAAAAAGATGGGTCTTCTGTGGGCACAGGACTTAATTTAGCAAACTCAACAGCCTCATGGGCCTGTTTCCCTCTTTAGAGATGGGGAAACTGAGGTAGAGCTCCTAAGCAGTGAGGCTGTGTGAGGTAGATCTATCCCATTCCAGTCTGGAGTCTCTTTCCTGCTCCCTTCCACGGTCTCTCCTATAACCCAACACTGGTTGCCAGGACACAGACAGCAGGGMCACACACACACACACACACACACACACACACACACACACTCCAGGGCACATACACGTGGACTCTCCTTTGATTATATGATAACGTGCAAAGAAAGGGTTGGGTGAAGGTGAAGGAAGTTTAGGAGCTGGTAGGTCCTTCACCAGGAAGTGGGATGACCATGATGTGGGATGGGTCCTGGGGGATAGGAGGTCCCTGCATAGTGGAAGAGAGGATGTTCCTGATGGAAAGTGTGGGTTGAATTTGCAAAGTTGGAGGGGATGAGATATTTTTTGGGAAGATGCTGGGAAGGCCAACTGGAAAATCCTGGGGTAAGGAGCTGCCTCAGACTCAGGTCTCCTTAAATCAGAGTCGGGCTTGTACAGGGTTGGTGGTCCTTATCAGCTCAGAACTCTGCTGCTTCTACAGGCCATGGGGTGGTCCCCATATCTCAGATCCCTTCTCAGAACTGTTACAGGTATCCACCACCCCTAGGTTGGAGCTGGAGCCTCCTGGCCATTACTGATGTGCCTAGGACCCCTCCTCACCTCGGGAGGACTCTCACTGCTGCTTGCTCCCTGCATCATTGCAGTGATGAAGAGGCAGACTTGCCTCCTGGGTGGGTCTCCTTTTTGGGAGAGAGGAGATCAGGGCAGAGAGAAGAGTTGCTCGCCTATGAGGGGACATCAGGAGGTGCTGCAAGAGGTTGTGCTTGCCAGAGTCCCTGGGGCACCCCCCGTGTTAGCCAGTAGAATTCTCATGCTGTCCTCTTCCCAGGTGGGTGTGCCCGAGTGTGCGGCTGCAATGAGACCCGGATGCTGGAACGGCTGCCTCTGTGTGGGAAGGCCTTCGCAGACATGATGCAAAAGGTGGACGTCTGGAAGTGGTGCAACCTGTCTGAGTTCATAGTGTGAGTGCCCTGAGAGGTCTGGTACCCTGACCCACACTGCTCATGGCCCCACCTACACCCTGCCCTGGCCCTCAGTCCCTCCCATGGCTCTGTCCTTTGCCCTACCCACAGCTCACCACAAACCCACCTACACACTCTGTCCACTAGCTGCCCAGGGCCCTGTCCACCCACAGGCCTGGTTCGCAGATGCTCCCATAGGTTTGCGGGCAGTTGTCGTTGGCAGTATTTCTGGGCAGCAGTTCCATGGACAGATCTGGAGTCCTGAGAGTTACAGAATGTTGTTCTCATCACATCAAGATGCCAGGCACTTTCGAGAGAAAGGATTTTTTCAGAGTAGTGTTAGATGATTTTCCTGTCCCAAATCACATGGTGGAGCAGAGTGGGTGGGCAGTGGAAATTGGGACTTCTGGGGGGGGTCAAAGGATTTGCCCATGGACCTGGCTGTTGAGGTGCTCCTAGAGCCTGGGCACATCCAGGGGCTGCATTATGTCTGAGGCTCCAGAGGGTTACCTAGGAAGGCACAAGTGTATGGCTTGTGTTTCAGCCTTGGTGCTGTAACTCAGCCTGGGATGAGTCAGGAGCCTGGTGGAATCAGTCAGGAGTCTGGTTGGGTGACTCAACCCAGGTTTCTCCACACTGCCTAAGAAAGAGTAGCTCAGGAGGGACCTTTGTGAGATGCAGACTCGGATGTTGTTCTGTGCAGGAAGCTCCTTGCAGGAAGAGGCCCCTTCCTGTTGATGGGACAGGTCAGCCACTCTCTCTTGGAACAGTACAGAAAGGAGGAGGTGGGCCTCCTGTTGCCTGACCCCCTGGGAAAGTTGAGCCAGGACCCTCCTTCTCCTGTGTCTGTGGTGCATCTGCAGCACAGGCGTGGGAAAGTGCTGCTCTGTGTGGGAGCTGCCGGCTCTTGGCAGGTGTCCACCCAGCTTCCTCCAGAGCATCTTGAATGGATGGCTGCCATTGTCAGCCCTGAAGATCCTAACAGCAGGATGGTCACCACCTTCAGAGGCTGCTTACCAAATTCCAAGTCAGGTGGCTATTGGAAAATCCTTATATACACCAGGCTGAACTCTAGGTCCAGTGAGCCATGGTCCTTAGTCACCCTCAAGAACTGACAAGAATCTGCCTACTGGATAGGCAAGGTTCATCATGGGTGGTTTGCTGAGAGCCATTCCCATGTATTTTAGTCAGCTTTTTCGTTGCTGTGACTAAAAGACCTGGTCAGAACAATTTTAGAGGAAGAAAAGTTTATTTGAGGYCTCAGTCCATAGAAGTCCGGCTCCATTCCTCGGGGCTCCAGGTGAGGCTGAACATCACAGTAGAAGAGTGGTGTGGCAGAGGGAAGCAGCTCACAGGTTAATCAGAAAGCAGAGAGACTCCCCTCGGCAGATACAAATACATGCCCCAAAGGCATATCCCTCTAGTGCCCCACTTCCTCCAGCCATACCCTACCTGCCTTCAGTTCTCACTCAAGTAATCCCATCAAGTGATTAATTCCCCRATTGGGTTAAGGCTCTCACAACCCAATTATTTCCCCTCTGAACCCTCTTGCATTGTCTCACATGTGAGCTTTTGGGGGGAATACCTCACATTTAAAGCATAACACCATGTTTGATCACATGAACAGGGAACCCCCTGGAGATGCATGTTTCCTGCCAGGTGGGGGGGGGCAGAGAGAGGCAGCTTCCCAGCAGGAGACCCAGGTGGCTGGGTCTCACAGGTCTGATACTCCCAGTTGCCACTTGGTATATGAGAGCARGTTGAACTTGATGAGAAGGCTACTGGCCCTGGCCTCAGACAGACCCTACTTTTGGATCCCAGGGTGTCCCTGGATGATGAGGGCCTTGCAGGTCCATGTGGCTGTGGCCCAGGTACCTTTTGGCCCTGGAAAAGCAGCACTCGGCATGTCCTCTGGGCAGACTAGGGTGGTGCTGGGTGTTGGGGGCTGGGCCCAAACCTTGGGTTCTAGGAGCTCAAGTCCTCAAGGGGGCAGGAGACACAGACAGAAGGGCCTAGATATAGATGACCCAGGTAGCTGGGAGTATGGAAGTGGCTTCCAAGGCCACACTTTGAGTTGSTGTCCAAGTAGGACGGGGCCTGGAACATTTCCCACCTGTCCTGTTGGCCTGGGGTCAGGGCAGGCATGAGGGGGCCTGGGGAGCATTGTGATCTCACTTTCTGCCTTTGCAGGTACTACGAGAGTTTCACCAACTGCACTGAGGTGGAGACTATTGTTGTGGGCTGTTACTGGCCCAATCCACTGGCCCAGGGCTTCATCACTGGCATCCACCGGCAGTTCTTTTCCAACTGCACAGTGGACAGGACCCACTGGGAAGACCCCCCAGATGAGGTGCTCATCCCACTGATCGTGGTGCCTGTCCTGTTGACTGTGGCCATGGCTGGCCTGGTGGTGTGGCGCAGCAAACGCACTGACCAGCTCCTGTGAGAGCCCATTAGTCAGAAGACCATGTCAGACAAGCTGGAAGAATGTTCCTGGGGCTGCGAGAGCTGGTGGATGGATGCCGTTACTGTCTGGTCTGCTMTGGCTGCATCCCACTCCATTCTGACTGATAGTCCCTGGTGACTGGCCTGTTGCCTGACTGGGACTCAGGCTGCCCTCTCAAGCTCTTCACTCTTCCTTGGGCCAGTGAAAGAAAGTGACAAACCCAGGACTTGTGTGCTGGGCCTGGAAATCATCCTCTGCTGAACCCTTCACTCCCCTGTGCTAGGTCACCTTGTCTCTAGCCATTTCCTCTCAGACTCCCYATGTCAGCCTCAGCCCTGGACCTAACTCCTCTTCAGCTGTGACCCTGACCCCATCTCCTGCCCAACCCTGGCCCCCGACCATACCCATATAGAAAGGGTAGGTGAGAGCATTTGGCAGATGTTATGTGCTGTGGAACCCTGAGTCCCTCCTGGTGGGGAGCCCAGACAGATCCACTGCTAGAAAGACTGAGGAGTGAGAGAGACTGGGGATCCCCAGGAGCCACGTGCAACCTGCAGATCTGCCTGTTTCTCTGTTTTGGTTCTGAAGCTGGTGTGGGTAGAGTGGGGCTGTGGGGACAGGGCCTTCCTTCTATGCTGGGGCTGGGTGGGGGGGCTTTCTTCCCATGGGGCTCCCTGAAGAGTAAGGAACCCTGAAAGGGAAGTCTACATGCTAATRTTCTCTGTCTGCTGCTGTCTGCTATTTTTGAGTAAAGAGTCTCCGAAAGTCTGGCATTTCTGACTTTATTTCAGGGTATTTAAAGAGTTAGTGGCTGATATCCAAAATCTGATATCCAAAATCTCTAAAAATCTTTGAAATCTCTGAGGTCTTGTCTGAAAGTTTTTTTATGGTTGGGTGTGTCTTTAGTAACTTCAGTCAGCCGAGGTTTTTGCACTGCTGTGTTTAGAGCCATGGGGAAGACCAAGACCTATGAGGCACAATCCAGCCCCCAAGAGTCCCTTCACTTGTAGGGGAGGCAGATACGCCAGCCCTGAATGCAGTGTGCACAGAGAGTGGGGGTCCATCTGGGGATTTGGGAGAAGGTTCCTGGAGGAGATTTTGGAAGAGGGTCATTAAAAATGAGTAGTTTTCCCTTTTGAAAGCATCATGAGTGAAAGCCCAGTGACATACAACAACTTGGCATGGTTGGAGCCTGGGCTGTGTGAGCAGATTTGGGAATGAAAGGATAAGTAGGGAGGGAGCTAGAAAGGGGAGAAGGGGTGGTTAGGGGATGAAGTCTTTGCAAAGGTACATTATTCAGGGCACTGAAGGGTGGCCTCTTTTGTGAGGCTGTTGTGTAGTTTGCCCCTCTTCAGCCCCATTTTGATTTCAGAACCTTTCTGCAAATTGGTTCAGACTTCAAGTCCATACAGAGGTCCTGTCGAAGAACATGGTCACGAACATTCTCCCAGGGTGACCACTCCTCCTTATAACCTTACTCATAGTGGGAGGGCAGTGATTGATTAAATAAATTTTGAATTTTTCAATTGATAGAATTGTATGAATTTTTTTTTTTTGTACTGGGATTGAACTCAAGGGCACTCGACCCTTGAGCCACATCCCCAACCCTTTTATGTATTTTATTTAGAGACAGGATCTCACTGAGTTGCTTAGCACCTTGCTTTTGCTGAGACTAGCTTTGAACTCACTATCCTCCTGCCTCAGCCTCCTGAGCTGCTGGGATTGCAGGTGTGTGCCACCATGCCCAGCTGTATGAAATTTGATGACTAAGCCCAGTGGGTTGGCCTAACTATAAGAGACCCTGGAATTTTTTCCATTATCAAGGAAATAAAAATATAGAATATAAACTAATATTAAAACACATCTTCCCAAATGAAGCTCTAGGCRTGAAATTGAAATGCAAATTCTGAGAGGTGGTGGGAGAGAAAAATCAGCCACCAGATCTTTGCAGTGGACTTGGGGAAGGTACTTTCGGGGGTTGGAAAGGACTGTCAATGGAAGATGAAACTTCCCTCTGGCCACCTCACCCCTGACCACTTGGCAAACCAGATTAGGAGAACAGGGCAGCTGCCAGAGGGTGGCAACCCTTATCGTTGGCCTGGATGTCTTCTGGAGGGACTGTTAGTCCTGTTGCTGAGGTTCCTGTGGTAGCAGCCTGACTCCAGCCTTTTGAGGCTGACCATTCAGGGAATGGCTTGTGAAAGGGTTTGCAGAAGTCACGTGGCCAGAGGGGAGATTTCCAGAACAGACAGGCCCAAGTCTTGCAAGTTCTGGCAGTCACTTATGGCACCTGGGGGATATCCTGGGGGACACTGGGCAGCTTGTGGGCTGAGCAGCTGCACTGTGGATAGGATAGCAAGGACTCAGTATCACACTTGAAGGGTGATTGTGCAGAATGGAGAAGGAAAAGGCATGTCTTGCTGGCCTGCTTCTGGAGGCCCAGCATGCTCTGAAACAAGCTTCAAGTCCAAACAGAGGTCCTGTCTGAGGACATGGTCAGTGACATTCTCCCAGAGTGACCACTCCTCTCTATGTCCTTGTTCATCATGGGGACRCAGTGATTGATTAAATTGATTTTTAAATTTTTCAATTGATAAAATTGAATGAAGTTTTATGACTAGGCCCAGTGGGTTAGCAGGACTTTAAGAGGTCCTGGGTTTTCTTCCAGTATAAAGGAAGTAAAACTATAGATCATAAACTAATATTGAAAATATCTTCCAAAAGGAAGTGAGAAGCTTCGTGAACCAACAACCATAATTGGTGCAAATCAGAAACAACAAACAAACAAACATTTAAAGTCTCTGAAAATTGTCCTGAGGCTACATGGAAAACAAAAAAACATTTACTAAGGAAAAATGTACTGAATCTGGATATGAACATAGAGGGCAAGAAGTCTTCTGGAGGTTTCCAGTGTTAATCAAGGAACTGTCCAGGAAGATGGATGAAAAGACCAAAAAAGGCCAGTCTTGGTGATTCTGATGTCCCTGGCACCAAGTATGTCCTGGTGCTATGTGGATGACCCTCCTGATCCCCCTGAAGGGATCCTGCATTAGGGAGGTCAGGGGACTGGGCTGCTTTAGCCTCAGGTCTTAGCGTGGATTGGTGAGGTGGCCTGAATGATTTTGGGAACTGGCCCTTCTTGCTCTTCTCTATCAGGTCACACACTCTTTCTGTTGGAATCCTCAGTGGTTGCTTTATCTGAGAGCTCTCTCTCAAACTATGCTCCCGTACAGAGCTGATCCTTGGGACTTTGGGGCTGTGGGTGTYAGGAACATGGTAAGGAGCTGCCAGGCAGATCATGGGCACCTGAGACAAGTCATACTTGTCCACAATTAGGRTTTCTAATTTTGATTTTCTCTTCCTTGTCTATGATAGGGCATGAAACACAAAATCAAGGATAAGAAGAGGGCCCTGGTCCTTGTTCCTCCCTTGACCGAAGGCAGTCTTCCTCAACACACTAACATGATTGTGCACCTGGCATGTGGTGSTGCCAACCCCAGGCTGCCTGGGACATTCCTTTAGGTCTCCCAGTGAATGAAACATATATCCATTATAGGATATTTCTGATTTATTTCTTRTAGTTTGGRTATGAGGTATTTCCCTCAAACCTCCTGTGTTAATGGAGGAATGTTTGGAGGTCAAATGATTGGATTGTGAGAACTGTAACATAATAAGTCCATCCTAATTTGARGGGACTSAGTGGTAACTTTAGGCAGGTGGGATGTGGTTAGAGGAGATGGGGTGCCCTGAAGAGGTTCATCTTCCCTATAGCTCCTTCCCCACTTGCSTCTCTCTGCTTCTTAGCTGCCATGAGCTGAGCAACTTTTCTCTACTATTCCCTTCCACCATGATGTTCTGCCTCACATGGGTCTGGAGCAATGGAGTCATCCATTTATGGTCTGAGAAGTCTGAAACTGTAAGCCCCCAATAAATTTTTCCTCCTCTAATTTTTTTTTGGGTATTTTGGTCACAGTGACACTGGTGCAAAGCTAAAACAYTTATTTACTTATTTTTGTGGTGCTAGGGATTGAACCCAGGGCCTCATGCCTGCTAGGCAAGTGCTCTACCACCAAGCTATACCCCTAGTCCTATTCTGGAATAAAATCCACCAAAATATGCTGAACCCCACCCTGAGTCAGCCCGCTGCAAGGAAGCCTCACGCACATTTGTAAACTTAAATGCATTCAAGCTAGGATTGTGTTGGATTGAGCTCTGGGCCCATTTCGACACCAATCCTCTCCCAACACCCCCCTCCACCCACCAACCCCTCTGTGGTTTTGCTTCAAATCAAACATTAGTAAATGTTGATGGATCCAAATGGAGAGAAAGCTGTTCTTTCAGCTTAAGCATCTACGCTGCATGTTTTTTTTTTCCCCTGAGTATTTCAGTCCAGAAGGCTGTGAAAGGGACTCTGTTCCACAGCTGCACCAGTTCTTCATGGGGGAACAATCAAGACAGGATGCAACAAGCACATCGTTGCTCTTACAGTGAACTTGGGCACTGTGCCCACAATATGGCACATTCATGGAGCCTCTTTGTTACAGAGATTTACTTTGCTCTAGGAGCATTGTTTTAACTTCACAATGGGAAGACTGAATTCACAATAAAGGGATMAGCACCAAATAGACATAGGTATGGCAATACGATATTTGGGAAATAAATGCTTTTTTAAAAATAGGGCCTGGAATTGTAGGGAGAGGGTTCCACTAAGATACCACATTTTTTTCTTAAGGGATCCCTTCTCAGCTTAAAGAGAGAATGAGGTCAATCCATAAAGAGGTATGTGAAGAAAGGGTGTCCAGAAGGACGGGTTTAGGTTTCGCTCTGTGCTCTTGAGCCCACAGAGGAAGTGGTATTTCAGCCAGCCCTTGGATGATGGGTGCAACTGGAATATGCAGAGAAGCAGCTGCATATGACATCATAGCTTCAAAGGATGCAGAGCAGGAATGAGCCAAGACATGAAGATAAATCACCCAGTTAATAAAAATTAAGGGAGATTTGAGCAGATCTTACTCAGAAATCAAAATCAACTAAACACAAACAAAATGTAGGAATATACAGGTTTTGCATAACAGTAAACAAACTTGATATAACATCTAATATTTATCACCTATCTACCTATGTTAGTTTTCCATCTTTATGACAAAATATCTGAGGTAATAAATATAAAAAAGGGTACAGGTTTGCTAAATGTTTTGTAGTAGAGTTATATTGTATTGTATAAATTTCATCTTAATTGTTTTTTGTGGTACTAAGGTTCTAACCAGGGCCTCCTACCTGCTAGGCAAGGATTCTATCACTGAGCTACATTCTCAGCCAAGATGAAGTTGACTTAYTTTGTATTGTTTGGGGGAGAGATTTTGAGTCCTGTAGTTTGGCAGTTTAACACCCTTCTTTCATTTATGACCCAAACAACTAGACCAGTGAATCAGTAAAACTATAGAACATTTCAACTTAACCATCAATCAGGGTGACCTAATTGATATTTATAGACCACTATACCCAGAAACTGAAGAAATGTATTTGCAAGGACATTTGGCATCTTCACAAAGGTAAGACTTTCTTCCTGAGGATAAAAAAAAAAAAATCTCAGACATCATTATCCAAATTACAGGTATGAAGACGCAAATKGGGT